TTGAGTCACACACTCTGACACATAATTGAGTTTAAGTGAAGCACCCTTCACACTGGACTACAATTACCTCATGATTTACTGAAGGAGTTTACCTGTATTTTGAGAGGTGCAGTCAGACAGGATAAACAAAGCTGTTTTTCTGATTATGGAATTATACTTCTGCCAAAATACACGTAAACATTGACGTGTCGTCCGACCAATTCCATATTAATCATGCTGATGCCTCAATGGTCATCTGATACACACACCTCTCAAATATCAACTATGTTGTGCCGCTCCGAGTCAAACAAGCTGATTCAACTAACTGGGGGTGGGTTGGAAAACACAAGACTGGAACTGAAGTGAACATGTCAACATTAAACCCAAAATCCATCCATGTAAAAAAGAAACCGCACAACACTCTTGCATGTTCGTTTGTTCTAAGTGGCAACACAACCTTGTTAAGTTTCCACCCAATCTGTTTTCAAAGCTCCTAATTTCTCCTGCAGCCCATTTTAGAGGCTTCTTCATCCTGCCTTCAAATTTTGTTATATGAAGCAGTTACTGTATAAGTAGGCACAAAATGTTGCTACTGCTACTACTTTTTCCTTCAATATTTGTATTGTCTGAATCCTATATTAATGTCATGATAATTGACAATAAGATGCAAAAAATGTATGGTATTGTAAAGCTCAATATATGGTAGTTGAATAAAATCAACACTAATTTACCCTCCTTCACATGTTCAGTAGAAAGGCACGTGTGTAAGTAGGTAAGTCACATGTTTCATACATTGTTCTGTATTTCACACCCTGACCGGCCTGAGTTGAAATAATTGGGGAACAGGGACTCACATTTACTACTGTACCATAATACTAGAAGGTTCTGCTGACTCGTGGACACTGTGCAAAGGCTATAGGGTGTTTTACACCGGCTGTCAACACATAGTTTTCAGAAAGGCTGGCAAACAGCAGCCCTTTACAGAGGCAGACAAATGGCTGGTTCACATACAATAGAAACAAAGGTAGGTTAAATAGAAGCACTCGAACCACGGGTCTGCCATCTCTACTTCTACCCACCCCTGGGTGCATGTGTGTTTGTGAGCACAAGTTGCTGGGCAGCTGCTGCAGAAGTCCCATTGTAATTCACCCTTAGTAAAGAGTTTCAACAAATGGCTAAAAGAACTTAAATAGAACAAGAGAGGTGTTTGGAAAAGAGTTTTACTGCATGAAGGTGAGCTTCTCCAGCAGCCTCCATCCATTTCCTTTCCAGCTGTGCCAACACCTCCAGCCACTGGACGAGGTCCTGCATGTTTCTCCCACTATTATCCAATGATTTACAGCCAAGATAGCGGGGAGCTGAAGTTTGTTGACATTCCCCGCCTAGCACAACCTCAAATACGACACTGACCCCTTTTCCAACCTCATAAACGGCTTGCTTCGTTGAAAGCGTCACCGTGACAAGTAAAGAATTATGAAACAAGAGGGAATGCTCACAAAGTAGGTTTTGACTGCTTTGATGTGAAAACTTGTGACATGCATTCGACTGAAAGTATGTCAGCAGGAAGGAGGTGTATAGTAAACAAGTACAACACCATATTATCTTGTAAACTGTTGGCATGCAGGACTATGACCCAAAAAAACAAATCCAATTTGGGGATTTCTTTTTTCAAGAATTCTTTAAAAAAAAAAAGTTTAATCTTTGCAAGCCAAGACGACACTGCCATTATAAAAAGAGAATTTATATTTTAAGCCAGGTCTGACTGGAAAACAGGCAGTTTAAAAGCAGTAAAAGCAAAAGCAGATCACAAGTCTTCGCACCTTGGTGAACTCACATGGAGCGAGTTCATCCATTTAGAAGCCACAAAAATGCTCCATCTCTAATGACATCACTTAACAGTCAGCGAGGGTGTCTGGGCAAAGTTTTGTCTCCAGGCAAAACAGTCAGTGCATGCAATAAGCCATTGATAGCTAGCAAATAAAAGCCTTTTATTGGTTATAAATTGTGTCGGACCATTAAACTTTATGTTTTTCCTGAGTGACATTACTCTAAGTTAAGCCAACAGGAGACACAGAAAAGACATCTGATAGTCACATTTTTTTCTGGATTTCCAACTTGCTAACCTTCAATGAAACACAAAGCATGTGACTTGAGTGGGAATGCAATGTTTTCTGGCTCTTAGAATCAAAAATGTACAGTATGGCAAAACATCAAAATCCTTCATTGGGTAATTTTTTTTTATTTTTTAGATGATCTATTTTCAGATGATGTATTTGCAAAAAACAGGTTCATACCAGCCCAAAAGAGCTCTGCAGGGCTGTTTTAGAGTTCCCACGTGCTGTTCGTGGGGGAAGATAAATGTAGAGCAGGCTAAAGGGAGGAATGCATTCAAAGCACCCTTAATTGAGCTGGATGGCCTGCAGTCACAGAAGCACTGGCGAAATCCTGAGATGTGCCTCACACATACACATCATTAAACCGGCTGCACTGGCTCACGGCTCCACGGTACCAATGAACACTGCAAAGACAGTGGGAATTACATGGGAAAGTTGTCTGGAAGGAGCTGCCCCCCTCCTTCAAAATGAAAGTCCCCTGGCTGTCAATGAAGGGGAAGTGCTCCCATGCTGAGGCCCACTGTGCCGGCCATTGAACAGGGGAACATTCCTCAGTAATTCAGTTTGACCTGAACCCAATATGCTAGCTGAGGGTCACTGAATACAGAGCGCCACATACAGGGAGGAGACGAAAGGGGAGGAGGAAAAGTTGGGAAAAATCGGATATAGAGGAGTGAGAGGCAAAGTGACGGACAAGAGTCGGAGGGGTTACAGGGAATACAAAAGCGCACATGTCAGTACGATCAGCTAGAGTAGCCTTAATTTTGTTGACTGGTATTAGCAGTTATCACTCTAGTAATGCCAACTGGCACAGCAACCATCCAAAATGTCCCAGGACACACTTCCTGTTGCAACTGATGAACTTCTCACATCCATCTCTTTGGAGACAATTTGAGACATCACACAGCTCACAATACCATGTAGGCCATGTGAGACTTCAGCCAACGTCTGCCCTTCCACTCTTACATACGCCGAATGTGCTTGTCTCGTGACTTTTAAATCAAAACTGCTTGAATGTAGGACACACGATGTAGTGCTGGAACGTGTTGGTAAAACAAGAACATGGCAGCAGGGGGAAAATAATAATGTGGAGAAATGGTTGCACTGCAGTGTGGTTGGGATGGAGAGAATTACAGTTTTAATTCTATAAAATCAAATCCCTCCACTTGGCAATCCTCTTATCCAGTAATCCCCAGGTAGGTTTCAGAGGGCAGCAGGCTCAAACTGCCCAGTGCAGCAACACATCTGCCCTGGTGGTGGGATGATATCACCGACTGCTGCTCTGCTACCAATAAAGGCTTTAAATGGACATTGTCTGAATAGAAACTGGACCAAATGGTCAAACTGTAGCCTACTGTAAGTATAGTAATGGTGATTGCTATTGTACATACAATCCAAAAATATGAAAATTAAATAAACATTTGATAGTTTCCCTGGTTTAGTCAGCTATACAATAGATCACAGATTCAAACATGCAAATAGCACATTTAGTGCATAGCAGAGGGGAATTTCCCTCAGGTCATAGATTTCACTGACCAAAACACTAGTTCTCAAGGGCTGATAGCTCACATGCTAGCTGCTGGTGACACTTGGGTGTGTAAGGCCACTGTTTTTAATATGCTTGAGTATCTCATGGTTTGTGCAACTTACAATGGCAAAATTGGGAGTTTGACTTCCAGTTGTACTACTGTAAAGCCTTTTGGCTTAAAGATCTGTCCAATTTCAACTTTATCTATAAGGAAATGTTAGATTTATAAAGTAGTGCTAGGAAACAGTACTTTTGCTTACTCTCTTATTGAACTATTGTTGCTTTTTGTCCCTCGCTAAGACTGCCAACATCCCTTGGTGGTTCCCACTTATAAAGCATCCACTACATGGCAGATGCTATTTTTTGCTCTCTTGTTGGGAATCACCAGTTCCCAGGGCAAAATAACTCAAACTTAAAGAAAGCCAGAGAATGGCATTTCTCTCTGGCACTTGGACAAAACCAGAAAGAGAGTGATGATACCTCCCATACTCTCCCATGCTCTCATTTTCATGATCCCTTACATTTCTGTTTTTAGAGATAACAAATCCAGCTAAAAATATGAAGCCACTGTCCAGAATCCCACATTTGGCATCCTGAGTGTGTTTTGTAAATATGGCTGAGTATGAGGAAAGACCTCTGACCTGCACTGACTTTGACATATGGACACTAGTACTGCAGCACTTCACGCCACATTAATAACGAGCTGTGGAGAAGCTGATCATAACAGAGCGGCTATATCCCCATAATCCATATTCTCCCCCATTTAGCTGTATCCACACCCAGTTCAAAACCAGTCATTTCAGTGTGGGATTAGTGGGCCGGGTTGAAAATCTTAATCTGCCTGAGAGAGAGTATAAAGAAAGAAAGGGAGCAGTGGGAAGAAAAACATGCATTCCTGCACACGCAAATCCCCTGCAATGCTCGATTGTTTTACCTCTGCTTAAACGACGGGTATCCGTTTCCTTATGTTATCAATGAGAACCAAAGTGGTTTACGCAGCGCCCCGGCACCATGCTGTTGCCACTAGCAACAAGACACGCGATTTCCCTCTGCAACTGGCTAATCTGGCTCAGTACAAATCACACATCATCCCCTGCACATGTATACAGTGCTGCTATATGAAATATGTTCCCTCTTCTGGGGATTATTAGGAAAATTGCAGCTCAGGACAAAGTAAAGATGACTGAAGGAGGTGCAGCCAGGGGGGAAAATTCATGAAGCCGTCTTGAAACAGCTGAGCGTGCATGTATTCTTCTCAGAAGAGAGAAGTATACACAAGAATCCCCCCAAAATTACAATGTGTATCATTGAACAAGACAGTAAAACCTTGCAGTTGCAGAAGAAACAACGTAATTTTGTCATCTCTCATCGCAGCTTACCCTGGTGGAGATGCAGCATCCTGGTACATTCAGAGGACACACATGGTAATCCACCAGCACGCTCTCCTCCTGCTCTGCAGCTGCTACCCACTGATCCCGCAGACGATAAAGTTTACATCCACAATGCAGCACTGCCGGCTCTACACTGCTCCCTGCCTGCCTCTCTACTTGACTGAGACCAAACTGCCTCTCCTCCCCTTCTCTCTCTCCTCTTCTCTGTGCTCCCTCAAGCACTGAAAATCCTTGCTTCTCTTTCCTTCTCCTCTCCTCGTTGCTTCTGTCCTCTACTCTCCCTGTCTCTCTCAATCTGGCAACATGCGTTGACTCTCCCAACACTGCTTCCCTCTCCTCCACTCTTCCTTCACGCTACATACGCTCTCCCTTTGCGCTTTGCTTCTCTCACTAACACACACGCTCAGAGGCTCCTCTTCACACACACAGCGCCTGTGTGCCTCCCCCCGCCCACCCCGCCTCCAGGCTTTATCTTTGCTCAGAATATTTCGCTCCCCAGTCTGTCTCTGCCTCTATCTCTTTCTCCGTCACTGTGTGTGTGTTTCTCTCTCTCTCTCTCTAGCTCTCTGTGTCCCTCCTCCCCGGGCTTTGCGGGACGTTTAACATGTGTTCAGGGAGACGGCTGCTCCGCTGCCTCTCTGAAGGTGGCTCTTTCCTCAGGGGAGGAGAAGCAAGGTTGGGGTGGGGGGTTGTACAGAGGAGGAGGAGTTTTTGGGGGTGACAACAGTGTTAAGGGGGGTTTAACTCCAACAAGGAGAACGTGAACAGGCAAGAGGCAGCCGGCTTGTGATGTTCCACTAGCTGGCCTCTTTAAGAAAAGGTGACAAAAGAGACAACTGAAGAAGAGATCAAAAGAGCAAAACAACAGATGACAAAAAGGAAGAACTGAGAGCACCTCCACAATAAAAGTCTCAGTGGGCTTAAAATGATCTAGGTATGATTGTTGGTATGATTGTTGGCCAGCCAAGGGAAAAAGGTTTATACCAGTTTTGAAGGGCTGCCCTCGAAGGTCATTGAGTGACGCAAAAGCATTCATGGTGATGTGAAGAAAAGTTAAGCTCCTTCTCCATCTGACCAATCACTGTGTACAGTTGCTGTGGTGGTTGAAAATGGTCTGACTCAGTCAGCCAATTCTGATGTCAGAAAGGTGTGGGGATAAAGGGTTTTAGACGCTCTTGGACAGCTGAAAAGCAAGCTTTTTCCAAACACTCTCCAGTAATCTGGATATGGGAAACAGAGCTTTTGGAAAACAATGCAGAAACAGAAAGAGAAGGCACTGACAAAAGACAGATAGGGACAACCGAGCAAGAGATCAAGATCAAGAGAGCGGAGGACAGAATCTGAAAGCCGGAGGGAAAAAAATGCTGAGAGAGAAAGAGAGAAGTGCTTGGGTCTGCCTCGGCCGAGTGACGGACCAGGCTCCAGCCCATCTGCCGCAATCACAATCAGTCTCAGCTGAATGGCTGTGACAAACTGCAGCCTGGAGCCCACAACCTCAACCAGGCAGGACGCCTGCAAGGGCCGAGGGAGATGAGAAGGGGGGACGAACAGGCAGAGGAGAAGGGGGGGACCCTCTATTGTCTGCTCCCCAATAGGACCAGTGCAAGAGGGGGCGGGCACCGGAGGGGTGAAAGGGGGAATTAAAAGGGTCCCGGTGACAGGAGCTCAGTTAAAGAGGGGAAAGAAAAGAGGGGACTGACTTAGAGCCGGGGCCATCGCTGCCACTTTGCCCCACATTCACTGTCACTAATGTCCTAAATGAACAATGACACTAACCATGTGAGAAAATTAGTTTGCCTGAGAATGGGAGGAGGCGGGTGGGGGAGTCTGGAAAAACTTCAAGTTGAGGGAAGGTGGTGCAAGACTGGAGATAGGGATGAGTTGTCACTTGCAGGGTTTGTAGGTAGACTTTTTTCATGCTGGGAAATCTGGCATTAGCCAACAGCGATCATAAAATATTGACACGTCCTGTCACGTTCTCGTTATCAGATAAAGCTAGCAACCACATTCCCATTTGTCATCATAAAACTCAAAGATTCATGATGCCTGATTATTGCGTATATGACCGAAATGTCACGCAGAGGGGGTAATTGTGTTTATCATAAGCGCAGCTGTCTAGCAGGGAAATCTGAATATAGAGCGAATGTGATTTGATTCTAAGAGCAGGTGGTCATCAATTAGACACCATTGTCCCACTTGGGTAAAAAAGACAAATGGACGGCTGAGTCAGCAGGAACATATACATATGCGCCGTAATCAAGAAATATTGAAGGCAGTGTTCCATTTTAATTTGATCAAGAGCATGCTGCGATTTGTTGAGCGATGGCTCTCGTCTGCAGGGCGTCAAACAGACAACAGTGCTTGGTAGCTGTGGTGTTTGGCGTCCAAGAAGCCCCCTCTATCCTTTAATCAGGAAAACAGGCCATGTTTGTTTGTTTAGCTTTGTTTTTTTTCTTCAATTTTAACTGCGTAATGATAGTCTAGGGGTGTGTGTGAACATATTACTACCCATACACTTATGGGTGTTAAAGGTTCTACAACTCCTTTGCCCTTTTTTTACATTGTATGCATATATATATAATAATAATAATAATATTGTGATATTCATGCATCTATGAGTGTGTGCATGAGTGTGTGTGTGTGTGTGTGTGTGTGTGTGTGTGTGTGTGTGCTCTGTGTGCTGAGTGATCTGCTGAGCTCATTAAGGCGCTGCTTATTGCTCTGCCAGGGGTGTCAGTGACAGATTCCACTGTTTGGAAACACTCGGCCGCCCACACAGCCAGCCTGGCTCCACCACTGTCACACACACGCACACATACACACACACTTAGGCTAGGTTAGCATTCCTCAGGGAGGCGGGGGGTGTAGTGAGGGGGACGGGACTGTGCTGGGACAGTGGCTGGAGGGAGGGCAGGTCGATATGGATTTGTAATGGGGCGCAGGGTGGTCTGAGGGAAAAGGATGCTCGTGGTTGTGCCTGTGCGTGTGTGAGTGTACGTTTGTGTGCACACAAAGGGAACGTGTGAGTGTAAGCACCTTTGAATTGGGGTGAGGAGTGGCCTGGGTTGAAGGGATGCTAGTGGTTGTGGTAGTATGTGTGCAGTGGTGAAAGAAGTATTTAGATCCTTTACTGAAGTGAAAGTAGCAATTCAACAAAGTAAAAATACTACTACAAGTACGAATCCAGTTACTTTATGTACATTGTATTTTTGGAAGCTTATGTTGTGAACAAAATGTACTTCTGTACTCTCTTTGGTCTAAAGAAAATAACAATTATTATAATATTATAAATAATAATTCAGAATTCTTCTCATTCTGAAGAAGGGCCCCTTTTAGAGTGTTAAATTATTGATGCACTAACACGGAGGCAGCATGTTAATGCTATAGCTAAATGGATGGAGCTAAATTCAACCGCAGTTTAGTCAAGTAAGAGTATATGTACTTGTTACTGTGTGTATATGAATGTACAAACATCCTGTCAGTGGAAGGTCCAGGGCTCCAGGCATTTTGCTTCCGTGACATTATTCCCCTGCAGCTTGATCACAGATGAGTGACCAAAAGCAGGCCGGGAAGCGTCACTTGAGCTCATTACCCGACCAGTCCGCCGTCTAGGTGTGTGTTCCGAGACAGACATTAATCACACAGGAGGAGAAGAATAAAAACTTTGTTTCCTTCCCGGCTCTCCAGCACCATAAAGACGATTAGCATGTATGCGGTGTTTAAGCTTAGACATGCTTCTGAGAACAGCTATTTAATGTCTGATACAACTGAGGAAAAGTAACGGGTGTAAAATCATTTGGAAGCACATCAGAGGTACTATGGGTGGTTACAATCCATCCAGGAGATATTTAGCTGTCAACACGGCTAGACTCTGTTGGGAAGGAGGGGGTAGGGTGTTTTCTGAATCAAGAAGAGCAAAGGAAATGCCACGCTGTAGACAGGCAGCGTGTTTGTTTACCCAACACAAGCCCGCTCAGGATCTACACAGCTCAAAGCGGCAAACGCCCAGACAGATGCAAATCACATGATGGGTCACGCCGAACTACAAAGAGCCCCTCCAGAGGCCGGGTGTGTGTTAGTGAGTGTCTATATGTGTGTCATTTAACTTCTGTGTGGCAAGATTAAATGTGTAATACAATGAAAGCGATAATGCAACTCCGTCATGTTCCATTAAGCAGGGGGATGGGGGCGGAACGGCGAAGTCAGTCCGGATGGTGGTCCAGCGAGACATCATCAGCAGGCGAGATTTTCCTCTTCATGCAACTCAGGAAATGCTTAAAGTCATCAAGACTGGAATGAGCAGGATTAACACTGATGGAGTTAATCTTTAATTAATCTTCAGCAAATCTTAAAGAATTACTTTAACATTCCTTGTGCGATTATGGTAAACAAATGGGACTATTATGCCGTGGCTAATTTCAGCAGTATCATCCGTCTCTCACACACACACACACACACACACACACACACACACACACAGTTAGTTGTAGTACTTTTCAAAATGAACACCACATTTTTACAAATCACAAAAGCCTGTTGTTTCCTGTCACATGGAAGTCCTTGTTAGATCCTTTTTTCCATTCGCAGCATTAACTCATTTCCCTGCTATTAGAGGTAACAGTTCCATCCACCTCTTAGTGTCATGAAGCAACCAACCAGAGCTGAATGTAAAAGCGGCGACCAACAGACGCTGACATTTGATAATAATAGTTATGTAAGATACAACTAGTAGTTTATTGATTTTTATATGCAATATTTGTGTTGTAGAGCAACTAAACCCATTTAGTGTACCTCCCAATAAACATGCTTACAATACCCATATAGTGTCTCAAAATCAGAGAGTTGAAATGTGATACATTTAACAAGGTGGTTTTAAAAATCCTCATGTTTTGTTTTTAGAAATCATCACTTCAACAAACCCATAGGACAAGACTGAAATGTTATGAATTTCACAAATTTTCACCCTTTCCTGTTTCCTTCGTGAGATGAGAGCATATATTCCAAAGAGCCCTGAGCTGGAGGTAAATAGCATGGATGCAACCACTGTGACTTCCACCAGCCAAAACCACACGGGATCTATCAACAAACCAAACCACACAGGATCTATCAACAATAAAAACCACACAGGATCTATCGCTCTTCTTATCTTAATGTGGGGATGTTTTCCAAAGCACTGTGAAGCACACATATTAGTCAAAATAACTGCACGGCTTTCATGGGCACAAAAGGAGCACATTCTCCCAAAGCTAATCTTGATAAAAACAATCTTTTCATTGCACAAAAGAGGGGAACTCAACTGAAGTTAATAGACCTGAATGTTGTGTGAGCCTTCATTTAATGAAATGTACAACTGACAATACCAGAGTGACTGAAATCAGATAAAAAAAATAAAATATTCTGAACCAACGCATAATTAAAGTGCTTTTCCTACAGCACAAGGAATTCAAATTAGTGTCTGAGAAGAACTCACTTAGACAAACAACAATTAGCCGTTATGCAAGACTCAGCTCTTAAACAAAGCTAATTGCCTCTAGGAATGCAGATAATACCGCATTCACTCCAAATGCCAAGAATACGTGTCACAAGTCCTATAAAACACAGCATA